ATGTCAGGATTTAACCAGATTAGGAACATAAAAAACAGTCAGCAGAGAAAACCACAATTATAGCAACATCTCAGCTGGGCTGCACTGCATGTGCCTGAAGCATCCACCTCAAACGTGCTGGATGGGGCCTAAGGAAACCATCAAGCTACATGAAAATAGACCAGGACCACACTTAGCCACCATCACAAATTTATTCCAATTGAGCTTATTTCTAACTAGAAATAAAAGTTTATGGTCTTACCTTTACTTGTACACAAAATCCATTTGTCAGCTGGTATGTATTACAAACCCTTTTACCGTTCGAATCCAATATTAAAACAAATGTTTTCAATAAAGAAGATCCTTCTGGACAAAAATGTCCAGACTGTAAAAGATTTGCGAATTTTCTCAGCTTGGAAATGTAATCTTTCATTTTTGATAAGGCGGATTGTAAAAGAAATATAAACAAGCACGAAGAAGATTGTAGGTAGCGCAAGAATCTGTGGGCTCACTAGCGCCCTCTGCCTTGAGGCTGGGGTACTGTTTGCCTCACCGAGTAACTTTTTTACTGGGTTTTATGGTTAATCTGCAGCCTAAACACGTTACAGAACTACATTTTATACATTATCCAGATTATGGCAAGGCAGAGCATATAATCAGAGTGTTTGAAAGCATTTTATTTGTGATATATAGAGGGACAGCGACACACTATTTGCATCGCATACAGTTTGTGAGGATTACACGATCCACCGAGAGGCACAGCAAAGTGCCGCCTCATCGCGCATCTCCTCCATGTATTTGAACGGGACATACGGGAATTCTGCTATTCTTTATTGAAAAAAATTCCTTCAACATCAGATTCGAATGGCAAAAGGGCCTACAACACACACCAGCCGACAAATATTAACATTTATTATATTTTATGGTTAACCTTTTTTTTCTTTTCAAGATTGACAGGGAAGGCTCTGCCTCACCTGCCTCCCCTGACCGCACGTCACTGATCACACACAACCACAGCCAAATCAATTCTTAGATATTCTCTTTACATATATAAACCAAAACCTCTCACAATTTTTGAAATGCCTTCAAAAAGACTATGCAAGGGGATTTTCCTCCTCAGCAGCTCAAGTTCCTTCTTGTTTTTCTTTTTATTTTCATTAGTTCATGTATCAAAGATCTGATCTGTTGTGGTTGTTCAATTTCTGGAAGAAACAGATGAATGGACAAATCTGTGAGACGAAAAGTAAGATCCATCAAACAAATGATTCAGAAGGTGTCTGGAAACATGACTAACATGACTAATGCAGCTAATTATAAACACAGGCACAGACTTACTATAGAAGTGACAATAACTCCTCATGAGATTCTTTCTTATGTAAAGATGTTTTTTGTGTGTTTACCAGAAATCAGCATTTGAGATCCTGCTTTATAAATGTCACAGACAGCTGTTTACAACAACTTTTGTCTTCATTTTGCTTCGTAATAAAGACAACCCTGGGCTATGGTTAGATTGTCTGCTATCATCACCCTAGCAAGGTTAGAAGGCATTGCACAGTGGGTCGCGTGCTGCCTGAGCTGGCTGTGAAATCACTAAATTCTTATCCCTGCCATTCTCCTTAGCAGGACCTGAGCTGACTGTGCCTTTCTGATCTCTGTCTGCTCTGTGACCTGGTCATACTTGCCTCTCTGACTCCTAGCCCAGTGCCTGTACGGCTAAGAGGGGCTGTGTAAAAAGAAACCTAGCTAAGTCACATTAGCCTGTGTTAGTCTGAAGCTTGCAGAGTTTACATATATCTTTTTAAAATACATTTTTGAATCACAAATGGGAATGAAGATTTCTCCATGTACCTTCACATAATCCTGATTGGCTTTGTGGAATAGAAGCTTTTTGTGTACATTGTACATCGGTTGTGGTGCAGCAGGGTGGTTTCAGAGTTGGAGAAACCCTCATGCTGGGACGTCTAAATTTCCATGTTGCCAATCATCTGTCCCTAGTTGGGAAGGCTCACACACATCCTGATGGCACGCAGGCTAGCAAACCTTTCCTCTAGCTTCTTTAGCTCAATGCAATAATTTACCAAAGGTTTCTTGCCTGTCTTTCTGAAAAAGACTGCCACCAATTCTCTAAAAATAAATGAATGTCTACTATAGCACTAGCTGCTACAGTTTTAACTGTCTTTGTTAGTTTGTTAAATATGTTCTTTATTTGTCAATTTGCTACTCCTTTCAAGCTGGTGGCACTGGCCTTATGGGAAAACTTGCTTGTAACCTACAGTAGCGCTGAATTTAATTTACAAATGACAGGGTGGTTTTCAGCAGGCTTTTTCTATTGCACTAAGCTTGGAATGTGGAATATAATGTTCTATAGAACTCTCCATCTGATACCATGTAAAGCCAGGCAGACAATGTGTGATTCTTATTGATTGTGTGTGATGTGTTAACTCACATGATACAATTTAATCAGGCCCCTGCATGATCTTCTCTGCTCACACTATATGTTCTTTTAGTCGGGCATGATGCGAGTGCTCACACTGGACGTTTAAACAGAACGTCGGAGAGGGTGTTTTCACTGACAATTGCAATGAAGTTCTATTGAAACAAGGTGTCTGCATCCTCAAAGTTGATGTCAACCAAAAGAAAAACAGCATTATTTTGAGCCATTCTACTTTGTACACCTGAAGAATAGTGGTAATCAGTATTTATCCTGTTGCTGTCAGACAGTGTGGTGTTGTCAGAGTTCAATTAACCTTGTTCATAAACAGCATCTAAATATGTTATATACAGTCAATGGCTTCATTTCAATTTATGATAACTCTTATGAGTCATGTTGTTATATTGTTGTCTTTGCACTTGTACAAATGGACTGAACTGACTTCAGACCAACATCCGACCAAACTTCTGACATACAATCCTTCCTATCAGTCGGAAGGCAGATCGTTGGCCATTCAGGCAATTAATCAGGTGGCAGGACCCTGCTCACGCTGCACGTCAAACAGCATGTCGGGCCCGAAATTTGGCCTGATTATAAAAATTGTTGGGGCTAAAATCAGCCCAAATCCATACAATGTCTGGCTTTAATTGTTTCTATGACAAGTGGAAGCTTTTACAATAAGTAAACTGTTTCAGTTTCTAGTATTGCAGGGTTAGGGAACTTACACAAGCATGAGTAGCCCTGTGATCAATGACATATGACATTTTTATCCTTTCAGTTACGAAACACTTATGCCAAAGATCAAATAATTACACATATAGATTTTATAAAAAGAAGGCAGCAGGGAGGATGCCACTGGGAGAACTAATTATCGCTTAACAAATACTAAATCCGCAATATCAAAGACCTAGCACATGAGGAGGAGGTTGGGGTGGTGGTAAGAGCTGCAGTGGGAAATGGGGTAAAGGTGACTTTCAGGCAGAAAGTTGTTTTAAATGTAAATAAGACTGGAAGCTGTGCTGGCAAGGGGAGAGTGTGGCATCTGCCATTGCTGTGAACATGCTCAGCTGTTTGCTGTTTTCACCTGAGTTCATGAAAGTTCAACGTTTCCAACTTGCATGACAGCTTATCATGTACCCATGGCAACCATAGAAACCAAGGCAGGGGAAATTATACAGCTGATTTTGCTAATATATATGCCTTGACTGAATCATAACTGTAAAGACCAAAAAACACAACTGTGAAATTCTAGTTGTGCTGTTCCATTTGTATATATTTATTGGACAGTTAATTTAAACTGTTTGTATGTTTAAATGGTTAAAGGTATAAAAATGGAAAGATTAATGTTAATATTGACCAGTCATTACTTGAATTTTGGAATAATAGTCATTTCTATAGTGTACAGGAATGTTCTTATTGTGTACTGTCACTTTAAGAGAGTCATGCTACTTCCCGGCTTAGTTTGTTTGCAAAAAAGATTCTGAAAGGTTTCGGAAGCGCAGTTTTCTTACTGTACGTCCATAACATGTTGCTTTTTGACAGTATTCACGTTTAATTATGACTTGTGGAATTTGCTGTGTTAGTTTTTTTAGCCGCTATTTTAAACTTGCAATCGTTGTGGAAGTGGACTTTTATGTGGCTTGCTGAAGTGAATATGATGCTGGAAGAGGAAGAGACACGTGCACGGAGTGAGTAAGACAAGGTTGCTATCCTTAGAAAATTCAACCTCCACAATAGCCTA